AGCATTCATGTGAAAATATTGAAAAGCTTAAATAACCTAATTTACATTAACCCTAAGTAGTTATATCAAACTTACATCTTGAGGTATATGTAAAATAATTCGAAAAGCATTTAGCATTTTTCCTTCCAAATGATTGAATTCATCACATCTATAAGAAATCTATTTAGTTTTCTATATAATTTCTTAATTTATGTGTAGTATTATTTGGTGCCAATGTTTGTACTCTGAATAAATATTCTTTCACAATATTATCAAGTTTTACTACAGTCTCTGCCAAGTGCAGAAATTTCTATTATCACTCTCATAAACTTTCTTGGATCCTCTTCTGAACACATTTGCCTTGCCAAAATGAAAATTATGTATATTCTATGTTCTATATCAATATGTCATCTCTTCATTTAGTCTGTTCTTGAACAAATATAGTTATTGATTTTTCCAAATTAGATTTCAATTTTAAATATTTGGCATTGAGATTGATGTCCAGTTCACTTTATACACAATTAATCCTTGCTCTTAATTAATCCTTGTAAATCCTCCAGTGTTGATTGGCTTTTATCTTAAAAATTCAGGCTAAATGCAAGATTCTTTGCATAAAATAACCAGAATGTATGGTTTTTATTTGAAAAAAAAATACTCATCCATTTCCTTCTTTCTCTGTCTGTTTAAAATTTAAAGTTACTTTTGTCAAATAGATAATTTTCAACCAAAGTGTCTCGTGGCTCAATGTTAAAAATATGTCTGCATTCTGGGATTGTAAGAGAATGTGTTTCACCTAATGGTTCTTCAAGATTTTTTTTTTTGCCTTTGTTACATTTTGTTAGAGACCAGTAGTTTTTGACATAAAAGGGAACGTAATTTCATGTTCTGTTATATCAGTGATGATTTTCTAAAAATAGTGCCTGTGAACTTTGCTTGGCCTTTTTCTTTGGTGATACATTTAAAGTTCTTCAAATTTTTTCAGTTTTCCAATTAACTTATTTTGTGTGTATGTGTATAAATTTCCCAATATTTGTTTGCTTGTCTTAATAGTATTTGTGATACTGAAGTAAATTTGGTTCAATAATTGTCTTGATAATTTTAAATTTATAAAACTCATTAAAAAGTAACAAAATGTTATATAATATTCTATTATGCAAAACATAATATGTATTTGGAAAATAACTAGCAAATATTTATAAAAGTATTTAATTTTTGTAGTAACCAAACTTCTATAATGAAAATGCCGTTTCTGTGATATTATGGATAAATTATTACATTTAACTTAAGCCCATGTTAATGTTGATTTTTGTTTTAATAACACTTATATCATGATTTGTATCATACTGAAAGTATCTTTTACATGAATAAGGAACTCAACAATACTTTCATGTTGTTGTAAGCAACAAATAGGTGATATGAATGATAATAAAAATACTCTACATTAAATTCAGCCAGTGAATTACTCCAATGCAGTTTTTATTTTTATAAATATATACATATATGTGTGTGTGTACATACATGCAGCAGTAACATTAGATAGGTAGATTGATCACTTGATTTATTGGTAGCTAGATGCTAGCTGAATATATCAGTTTCAAGCTCAGCTACTTGTTCAGAAGCTGTTTGTCATATATGTTTTTGAATCAACAGTGATTTATAATCATTAAATCTTTAGTTTATCAAACGTAGTCCTTCATTTTCAGCCAGTTAGAAGATTGTATACTGACTTCACTGCAATGGAACATTATCTCTTCCCCTGGAAGTTTATCATAATAGACATGCAAGTTATCTGTTTCGGGATTTAAGTTGTATTAAAAATATAAAAATAAAAAGTTGTTTAAATTGAGTGAGTCACCATTAAATGTGCTGTGTGTAATCTGAAGCTGTTGACCATAAGTAGTGAAACAATTTCACATTTCATTTACGTCTTCCTCTTTCCAAAAGAATCTGCCACGAGTCATAGGAGATTGAGTTGAAAGACAAGCATCCTGTCTAATCACTATACACCATCTGTTGCTTAAATCAGGATGTCCCCTATACGTGCATAAATAAGGTATTTCAGGGATAAATGTCTCTGGATAATTTTCTATTAAACTCTTTCTCATGGTTCTCGTTAGTTATCCATACAGTGAGGTTTTTAGCATCCATATCATCAAACATTCAAAAACATAGGAATAGTGATGACCATAGTTTAGTTTTGAACTCCCCTTTCTTCAGACATGTAATTTTTTATATAAGCTATCTGTACTTCGCTCCCTCTCTGCTTCCCTTCCTTTCTCTATTGTCTTCATGAAATATTACAAAAAAAGAAAGGGTGCACATTGAGAACACAATGTTAAGTGAAGTAAATCAGACACACATGATGAAGTATCATATGGTTTTTTTATATGAGTAACTCAAAATATAAATAATGAGCAAAGTAAAAGACAGATGGTAGGAAATAGGGAAATAGTTCTTTTGCAAAAGGGAAGGGGACCAAGGGAGGCAGGGAGATGGGAAGGAGAGGAGAAGTAGGTGAAAAAAACCCACACACATTCATGTGTGAACTACACGCAATGAATGTAATCATTATGTACTGCAAACATGTACTATTAAAAAATAAAAGTTGAAAAAGGAAATAAATGTTAGATATGTACATATATAGAAGGAAAGCATCAGGTTTATTAAGATTTCAAAATGTCAGTGAAGAACCTAAAACAATGAAGTACTAGAATGCATAATCTTAATCTTTCTTAATCAATGACAGTACAGTGCCTACATAAGTAATTAGCATATCTGTTTTCATCATCCTAATAAAATCATTGCTATTTCACTGTAACACATACTTGGAATTCATATTTTAATACCTAATTCCATTTAAATTATATAGTCCTTAAAAGTGAGACCTTTGAAAAATAGAAAATTACAAGTCATTCAATTCAACAAAACTGAAGGTAGCTATTGTTAAAGATGCATAACAGTAATCAGGCTGTTCTGAGCCAAAGAAGGATGTCTTTCTTTAACTTATAAAATAATCCATTTGAAATTGTTCAAGAGGTATTTTACTACTAATATCTTACTTAATTTAGACATTTGAAAACATACAATTTATTTTAAAAAATCAGTCAATGTAGCAATAACACCAATGACCTATTTCTAAAATTGCATTGATAATCATTTGAAATTCATGTAAATTCTCATACTTCTATACAATGCATCCTTTTTGTCTTAGTTACTTTCTTGTTGCTGAGACACAATACCCAACACCCACAACTCTAAAGAGGAAAGATTTATTCTGGTTCAGTTTGTAGAGGTTTCAGTCCATAGTTGACTGGCTGCAAGGCAGAGTGGCATGGCAGAATGAATCATAGAGGAGAAACAGTTTGTGGCACTGCAGCCAGGCAGCAGGATGCAGAAAGCAGCAGCCTTCCTGCTTTATGTCCCTTTATTCAAGCCTGTTGGTTGGTGTCACCTGCATCCAGGGTGGACCTTCAATTATCCATATCCAGAACTATGCTAAATCAATTTGTTTGTCACACACTGTCCCCTAACCCCAGTAATGGGGATTGAACTCAGGCCTTTGTGCATGCCAGGCAGACACAGTGCCGCTGAGCTATATCCCAGGCCCTGGTCACACACTCTTAATCTGTGTGACAGACACTCTAGATCCAGCCAATTCTGAAAAGCTCCACCTATGAGCACATGAAGCTTTGGGGAAACATGTAGATACAAGCCATGATACTTATCTTCAGGAAAGCTTTATGGTTTCAAATATATCTGATTTTCAAATTGTTCTATATAGTTTGAATTTAACATCTCTACACCATTTATTAAAATGTACAGTTTCCAGTGTTGCCAGTTAGATTTTTATGAATATATGTTAATTCTATAGGCAAACTGATTTTAAGCAACTCTTATGCAAATTATTTATTGGGTTTTAGCGCTCTGCACGATTATATAAACAGGTATAACTTAAAATGGAAAAGCATCATTTCTTTGCAACTACAGTCCTAGTTTACATATTCCTTAAAAAAATCCATAATATCTACTATTAGTTCTATTTATTAAAATCTCATTTTGTGATGTTTCTAATGCAAAAATGAATTTGGAGGTATCAAGGCCTGATATTTTATGGACAAGTGCCATTCTTAGACCTTTCACCTAAAAATCTGCAATTTGTTATTGTAGCCATGTATGCCTTCTATTGGAGTCTATTTTTAAAAAATAAAGAACAAAAATATTTTATTTATTTTATTTTTGTTTCGGAAACAGGGTCCTACTATGTAGCTCCAGGCACTGGCCTTGAACTCAACTGTAGCCCAGGCTATCCTTGAACTCTTAACAATTCTCATGCCTCAGGCTTCCAAGTGCTAGATTTACAGGTGTGTGCCACTATGGCTGGCTTGTTTTGTTTTATATATGGAAGTATTAGAAGTAGGGAAATGCATGGTTTGTGAATATTCCATTTTGATTTACTGCTTAGAATATATAACACAAAAGTGATACTGTTGATTAGCTTCGTAAAAAATGTTCTGTTGTTTGTTTTTCAAGTGTTTCACTATTATATGTACCCTTATTCAGTTTAAAACATATCATCAAATTCTTTATGAAACACCTGGAGAAGCAGAGGGCCTGGTATTCCAGTCTGATTCTTTAGCTTTTCTTCTGTCTTTGGGAATGTTCCTGAGTATCTCATAGTTCAGCAACACACAAATGGCATAAGCAACCCTTCCTATCTTGTACCAGAAAAGATAGTTTTGGAAGTCTTTATCAGAAAAAAAAAATCTTCAGTTGACCCTATAACGTACAGAGTTGTGTATGTTTTTGAGAAGCATACAGAAGTTAGTCTAAAGTTTTTTACATGACCTGAATATTGGTAGTAATGAAAAAAGGAATACTCTGTGAGTTATATTTTAAAGTCTACTTATATAGGTGCACAGTTTTTAAAATACCTGGACGTTCTCCCCATTACAAAACTACAGTCTCTTTACAGTTTTTAGAGTTAGAATTTTCAGTCTATTTATTTTAATTTTCTTTTTCAGGAAATGTATGCAAGAAAAGTTGTGAGAGTTTATACCAGTCCATTCTGCTGTGATTAAACAAGACACTGCTGTATTTTGTAAGTTTCACTATTTTTATCTTAAAGAAGACTTTCTGCTTTAGAAAACCACTTTTTAAAAATTTAGATTTAAGTTAAATTTTATTCAGATGGAAGACTTAATAGATTTTATTTTTTTTCCAAACTTTGCTTTACCTCAGTTTTACTCAATTTAGGTAAATAGTGAAAAGCAATACTTTGTTAGAGTAATTATTTCCCTGTATCTATTAGCCAATACTTTAATGATTTGTGATAAGAGCCTTATCAGTTGGTAAGCTAGTTTGAAGAGGCTGTGCTGTTAGCAATACTAATTCAGCCTGGAGATACATTTTGGTAATTATAATATTCTCTGTTTCAGGGAACATATACATTCAATTTTACCTGTAGAAACTGCCCTATGAGGCCATGAAGACACTAAATATTGAGCGTCTATAGCAAACTATAAATTCATCTTGTTACTAATATTTAGACTTTACATTCAAGGATTATGATATTTGTCACAGATATACACTTCATGTCTTAGAAGTATTGGAATCTTAGCCCTCATTTATTTTACATGACACAAAGCAAACAAACAATAGGTATTATGTGGGACTTCATGAATGACACTACATTAAATGTTTGCTCAACCTTCAAATTTACAACTATTTTGATTGTCTCAGACTTGAGATTTGGGTATTTATAATTTCTGAAACAGTATAAAGGAAATAGATGTTCCTCTCTTTTACAAGCTTCCTGTGACATTGAGAAAAAATAATCCCTTTGTCTCTAATTAATTTTCTATGACAGATCCAGTAGATTGAGAGAATGTAGTGCATGTTGTTTATTTTGACATTTGCAACAATTTTTTTGGCTTTTCATTCATGCAGCTTTTTTTTTTCACTAAACAAGAGAAAAAATTGTGCTATATTGCCTCTTAGTAAGTGGATGGGCAAATCAACTAGATGAAAATGTATCTACAGTTCTGAATTTGGTGCCAATGTAGTCGCTCCAAGGCTCTTCATCAGGGAAATTTTGTACCCTAGTATTTTAAAACAACTAATTTGGACGACTGTGGTTACTTCAGGAGTACACTTAAAGGTCAGAACAGATTTCAGAAACCTATTTAAGAAATGTGGAGGGATAAATCATTTTAAAAAGATTTTGAAATTGGAGGAGAATAATATACAATAAAGGGAAATTATATAAAGATCTACATTGTAAATTTAAACTGCAGCTCAGTGGTTCCCTGTTTTCAAGCCCTCTTTATATAAATTATTATTTCTTTCCAAGAAAATTCTGAATTTAATAAAAATTTGATTATTTTTATTAAATAATGATTTTCTATATATGCTGCTTAAATTCCAGAACATTTTCAAATTATCAAATAGAAATAATATTAAAATGACTTTATACAATTTGATATTAGTAAGAATAATTTCTTGAATGTTGACAATGTATGAACCCGTATGGATAAAATGTGACAAAGGAATTTGGTGTTGGATTTGGCTTGTGCAGTTTTATCAGTGGCAAATACACATTTTTTTCCATTAGAATTTCACAAAAAACCTTATGTTGCATCTTTACTATATTTACTGCCTAAAGGTCTAAGCAACCCATGCTGGGAACCATGGAGGTATCACCAGAACTTAGAGTAGTAAAATCCAAGAAAGATTTTAAGAGGAAAGGAAATATATTTTTGGCTTTGGTCACATTCTTCCTGATTATTCTGAGAATAGTCTGTTCGTCTAAGGAAGAATTTGAAATATATGAAAAAGATGTAAGAAAAGATAATATGATTGATTAAATTTCTCAATAATAGTGTCTTTAATAAAAAATTGAAGGAAACAAGATCATTACATTTGAAAAAGACCACAATGTCAAGTAAAAGAAATCAAATACGTAAAATTAAATATCATGTGATTTATATGATAAACCCAAATTATAAATAAAGAACAAACTAAAGGATAGATAATAGGAAGTAGAGAGAGATCTTTCTCAAACGGGAAAAGGATCAAGATACAGAGGAAGGGAGAAAGGGGAGGAAGGAAAGAGAATGAAACAAGGAATTGAGATGTTATGTACCTGTACCAACTCCACACAATGAATGCAAACATTACGTAGTCGAAGCAAACATGGACTAATGAAAAAATTTTTAAATGACACAAAGAAAAAGAACAGATAGTGAGATATTATTCTTCATGTATATGATAAGATTTTATAGAAAAATATGACAGATTATTTTGTAGTGACTTAAAAAACTGAAATATAATAAATATGAACTGTTATTAGTGTGGATTTCCAAGCTGTGTTTTGAAAGGACTAGAATAACTGAAGATAAAACTCTATAAATCCCTTAGTTTGAAAAAGCTGTATAGCAAAACAGATCCTTTTTTGAAGTGAGAGGATATTAAGGGGGATAAAGTATTAATTCAACATAAATATTAAAACCTAAGATACATGATCATGAATTAGTTACTGCTTTAAATTCTGTTAACAGGTGATTAGCATCATCGTTTCAATCAACATTGGCTTTGCTTTTCTGAAATCATATAAAGGAGGAAGTAACTCATTTGACAAAACATCCTTTACTCAGCTATGGTCCCAGGTGATTAACTGTCCAGTCCCTAAAAGGGAATTAGTACAATTTTTTCTAAAGATTTAAAGGATGATCAAAGTAGACCCTCTGCTTTTAGGATGAGAACTACTCTGAGAGCTAGACTGGTTTCAGCTGGTTAGAATTCATTTAAATAAATGTTTTAATAAGCACTTAAAAAAATCACACCTATTTTCTTGCTGTTCATTATCAATACTCCTTTAGGAGATCACACCTCACAAGGCAATAGCTTTTAAAAGTGACATTTTTCTGATATTTTAGATAATGAATGGATTTAGCTTAGAAATATCTGTACCTTCTTAGTTTATTGTGATAATTATTTTACAGATTTTCTTTTTCTAGAAACTTTGTAGAGATTAAATCAATGATATTTTTCTAAGTTGTTTTTTAATTTAAGAAATTGAATCAAATGAATATTTAGGCTAAGAACTCTCGGAAATAGAAGAAAAATGCAAAATACAACTCCTGATTCTAAATTTCTACAGTTTCATTGTAGATAAAAGTCATTTATATAAAATTACATATAAAATTACAGTCAAAAATATAGACTACATTGTAACTCCCTTACATACACAGTATGTTAAGTTTTAAGTCTATTCTTTGTATGATATATATATATGTATATATATATGTGTATATATATTCAAACATATATAGAAAAGTAATGAAGCACTGCAGGTATTCACAGAACCAATGTAATTAAATTTGGGAATGAAATATAGGTACAACTTAGATGGATTCTGAAGCACCATTATCATAGATGGGATAAAGTAAGAATAACAAGCTTGACTTAGGAACTTACTTATTGTGCGATGATACATGTCAGATTTGGAGGTATTGGGGAGAATTTTACGAAATGAAGACGAGGATGTAGAGCTAAGGAGATCAGTTTGATCTAAAACAAAAAAGTCTTCATGTCATAAGTGGAAAGCCTGTGCTTTATTTAGACAGGGAAACAGTTGCAAAACACAGTTCAGTGATATGCTATCTTATCAATTCCTGAATAAACAATATAGAAAGAAAGTGAAAAAACCCAAAAAACAAAGACCCTGTCAAGTTTCAGACTCTAAAAAACCAGAAAAATGTCTGATGAATGGAAGTGAAAATTGAGAAGACGGAGAGGGAAGCAGGGGCAGAATATATAAATGATGAATAGGGTGAGATCTTCCAAGTTTTGAAACATCTTGAACTTACATATTTTTAAGAGTTTCCTTATATTGATTTATTATCTAAATCTATTTTCTTGTTATTAACATTGTTGACATTTTGATGATGAAATAAATGGCTAATTTGTATTCATTTTCAGTCCACAGTGTGACTGCACCTCTAATTTATCTCAAAGTGAACTTTTAAGTGGATTCCTAAAACTGAACAGTTTTGGAATAGTGACACCAATATTATCTTAGTTTGGAATAGTCCTTACTATTGGTATTGGTATTCAGGAACACATGCTTGCTTCATTAAAGACATCAAATTGTCCTTTTTATAATCATGGACATTTTCTAGCAAGAAAATGGATATGTTTCTTCATTTCCTTTGAAAATAGTCTTTTTACTTTCTCAATAGACTGGCATTTGATTACAAAAAGTAACCATGATGTTGAACATTTTTTCATGTATTTATTTGCTATTTCTA